GCTGGGCAGCTCTCCAGCCACTCCTCCCCAGAAGTGCTGGCAAGGGCGAGCAACGTTTTTTTTTTAACACTTTGGACATCAGGATGCTTTCCTGCTTGGTTAAAAACAGCTGGATGTCCAGCTTTGGGGTCAGAATGAGATAATACAAGTCCCAGCTGGTTTGTGGCTCTCAGGTTTTCCTGCTCAGTCCCATGGAAGTCTTCAAAAAGCGTGTGGACGTGGCACTTCAGGACATGGTTTAGTGGGCATGGTGGTGTTGGGTTGACGATTGGACTTGATGATCTTAAGGGTCTTTTCCGACATTAATGATTCTGTGATTCTATGCTTGCAGAGGAGGTGGCCGAGGCATTACACGAATACCTTCATATCCTGCGGTCCTCGGGGCTAATTGCATGTTCCCTTGCCAGGACCCTAATTGCTGATAGGACCTGAGATGGGATCGATGAGCTGTATTTCTTGCAGTGGCTAATTAAATCCTCTGAGGATTACAGGTAAATCAGTGGGTTATTGCTAATAGGTTTTTAGAAGCACCGGTCCCATCTACCCATCCTGCTGATTAAAGAAAAACAGTCCCAACTGGCTTTTGGACTGAGGGTAGCTGTTTGTACTTTTGCTCCTTGAAATCATATCGATACCTGAATGCTGTAATATAAATATCAGCAAACAGTGGTGTTTCTGCACACCGTACAGATTTGCCATTGCTATACATCTGTTTCTTTTCCACATCCAAACAGTTTCTCACTTCTTGCAATGTTTTTGGCTCTTGGATTCTTCTGCATTGTGTCCACATATTCTTCTGTTACATATTGCATGTTGGACTTCTGATTGACAACTGAAAGATAAACACATTTTTATTACTGATTCTGTAAAGGGCATGTGTATACCTGCTTGAAATATGTATTACTTAGAGTGTTATATAACAATAAAAGATGACACGCATTCCTAGAAATTGTTAGGACATCCATCACAGCCAAGACTGAGATGCATGATGTGATCTAATGCAGGTTACACAATACTCAAGGCACTAGTTTGTACTAGAGGAGGTTTAAATATTTAATATTTCAAAATATTTGAAAAAGAAGGTTTTGAAAATATTTTGACAATAATTATGAGCCTCCTTCTCTTTTAATACCATTTAGCTGCTGCAATAAACTCATGTTGAAAGATGTGGGCAAAAAGTTCCCTCATTCTTGCCATCTGGGCTTATTCACCTGCTGAAAGCAGCCTTTGTTGAGACAAAAGGCCGAGCGTGGAGCAGAAATACCCCAGCTGAGGAGGCTGACAGACCTGCCTCTATCTGTAGTCACTGTCTGAGGACAGGACTGATGAAGCACTGTTGTTTTCTTGCTGGTGAAATTAGGTAAGAGCCATTCAGGACAGTTTAACAACGCTAGCGTTCCTGGTACACACCACGCATATTGTTTGTAATAGTGTTTCAGTACATTATATTTAGAAACCAGATAAACCCATTGTGATGATCCAGTCTAACCTATCAAAAAAAAAGCAATGATTTTCAATTTGTATTGTTCTGCATCGCTCTTGCTGAAGCTATAATATCTATGGTGGACATCCGTGTATGAAAGGTTTGGGTTTAAAATATTCAGGTTTCAAGCATGCAATTTGCAAATATGTCTGTTTAGTAAGATTGACTGCAATCTGCTCTGGCTGTGGTCAGTAGCAATGCTCTAACAGGAGTTAGTTTATGTTGGTTAAAGCTTTTTACCATGTCCATTCTTGTGGCCTGGGCTGTCTTCATTAGACTTGGATTTATAACTCTCCAGCGTCTGCTCCGAAACATCATTTTCTGTGCAGAAAACAAATATAATTAAGGTGATGAGATTTTTCCATGACTCTTCCTCACTCTCTGCCTTGAGCATAAAAAATCCTGAGAGACTAATTATAAAATGAGGGTTCGATCATCCTGTTGGCTTTTGTGGCACCACTTGCCACTTGAAGCATGGCCCGAGGCCATCAGTTACAAGGACTCTTCAACAGTTGTTTGCAACAAGTCACAGTCACTGTCTATGGGAGAAGGACATTTAATAGGTGGCTGGATGTGCCATGTCTTGTTTCTGCTTAACAGGCTCCTCAGCTCTCCAGCCCCTCTGAATAAAGCAGCGTCAGCAGTTGCTCGGACAGGGCCATCACCCACCTCTTTTCCACACTCCATGAGCTTTTTTCAGCTTCCTCATAAAAAGCAGGACAATGATCAGCAGCACAAAAATCAGAGCAGCCACCAAGATCGGCAGCAAGAGGCTTTTCTCCTTATTTTCGATGCCTTCAGATTTCAGATCTTTCTCTGTAAAAGAGGCAGGTGTATGTTTGTGTTGTTAAATAGCTTCCTGTGAGTGTCTGGTAATTAAGACAAGAACAATATATCCCGGACCAGGCCAGATGAACATGGTGCGAGAGCGGAAGTCACCTTATTTGACTTAATTTTAGGACATGAGGTCATATTTTTTCTTGTTATATGAACAAGAAAAACTGCTGGAAATCTGTGGGCTCATGCTCTGGCACAACAAACAGTAAACTTTAGCTTTTTTCTGGATGATAAAACAGGTTGTGTTTCTGTGGTGTCTCCCCAAGACTGCAAGCCAGCATTACCCTAGTGTACTGACAAAAGGTTTGGAGGTGGATACGTGGTCAGAGAGAACCAGCTTGGTGTAAGAAAGCTCATTGCATGTTTGGAAGCTATCATTAAACAGTTCGTACCAAAGGTGATGATGGAAATCACAGTTACGTTTTCACTTGGTAGTGGGGCTTCTGTCCCGGAAAGTTCCTCTTCTGTGACGTTGCCATTGAATGCTGGTTCAGTCCCTGGAGGAACGGAAAGGAGAACAGTATTTCTCTGAAGGACAAGGGGATGCTTAAGAAATGCATGTTTCCCCAGCAGCTCTGAAGTCCGGGGCACCTGGTGCCAGCAAAAAGGGACTTCTGCAGCCCTTGACTTAAAGCCCTGTGCTCACTTCCTTAATGCTGTATTTCCTTTTAACCTGAAGACCACCTAAGCTTTATGAACAGAAAATCCTCAGAGTCTCTCACACGTTGTTGAACTCAATGGTTCCCATTTACAGCCAAATTAAAACAAAGCTGAGCTTTGACTTTTTGGTCATTTTGGGGTTTTCCTTGTCCATCAGTTTGCTTTTCTTCCTTGCAAAACGAGGAAAAAACATGTATTCTTTTCCTTAAAGCAGATTTTTTTTGAGTACTCATCTCCCTGACTACTCTCTTACTGTTTTCTTAGCTCACAGTGGTGCAGCCACCCAGCGTGAGAATCCCTGGCCACTGCCACCCGTGTCTGATGGTGCAAGGTCGTACCAGAACCAGTCAACTCTTCCTTTGCTGCTGCAGACGGCGTGACTTCGGACCCTGTGCAAACAGAGAACTGAGCTCTGGCTTTCTTATGCACGCAGGCAATATATCCTTGTATAATTAACCGTGATTTGTAAAACTAAAATGATAACGCGTGCTGTATCTACCAAAACTTTACATTCATAACAGATTTTCTTCCTTATCGGATACGTAAGCACACCTAGCGAAAGTCCTGTTAAAAGATTCAAGCTCTCTCTCCGTGTGTGTTTATCAACGTAGGTATGGATTGTTTACCGGCATGTCGCCATGCTGTGACGTTTGTAATCATCGATGTAGCACTTTTAAACAAACACAAACGAAGAGTTCATGTATTTCTGAAACAGCCAATTGATTTTTCACTGCAGGGCCTGTCACTTAGTGTGGCACCTGCGCCCACCTCGGTGGGTTTTGGCCAACCGATTTGGGCAGCGGAGCTCTTAATTCTTCCGTGGGAAAGAACTCCTCGAGTCAATAACTGCAACCCGCTGCCCGCTCTATGCACAGATGGCCGCTGTTGTACCGTGCCACCCAGTGCAACCGTCCAGAGAAATCCCAGCCTGGGCTGACGCCGCGCTGCGCCAGCGGCTGGGCCGGCCGCCGCCGCCG